GCTCTAATCTCCAAGTGGGGTCATATTGCTCCGTTATAAAGTTTGTAGGCTGGATCAACCTAGGACGAAGGTCAACATCCACCCCTCCCCCAAATCCACCCAGTGCAGATTTGAACTTGAGACCTTAGGGCCAGTGTAATCAGTGTAGGGTGATTCACCTACCATTTCACTGATGTCAGAACTTCTGAATCTGTCTCTTTTTGTTACATTTAAAGCACTTGTCAGGCATCTCACTGAAACACATTTTTTGTGTTGTTATATAGCGGAAGGAATAATCTGAGACCACTAACCTGAAAACAGACTTCCTTGTACAAAAGTTTTCCTAGCTCGCTAGCCTAGTTGGTAACTGACTTCACGGCGACCGGGTGAAGAACTTCCTGTGGTCTGAGGATAGGCAGAAAAGCTACATTCCTCCCAGATTTACGGTATCTGTCATTGAATCAAGGCCGAAGGGTTGTGATATCCATAGTACCGAGCCAAAGGGTTAACAACTCATGATTTCTGGATACTTTAAAAAAAAAAAGTTCACTAAACAATCGGGAATGTGATTGCGAGATTTTGTTTGTGTGTGTTTTGTTATCTTTTCTTCATGTTTACATTGCATAAAGTTCTTTTGTTTTCCCGGTTAATGAGATTACAAAGGCAAGGTTTGTTTATGTTATGTTAAACTGACATCGACTACATGTGATTATGTAAATAGTTGATCAATAAAATCAGAGCCTTTTATACGTTGACAGACTTTATGTTCTGTGGTGTGATGCATAAAAGTGACTGACTGCTCTTTCTTCATTATGATGTATAAGGTAGCAGTTACTTCGAAAACATCTTCCTTTTCTTGTGGTTGCTCTCTAATTTACACCGACAGACGAGTTCTTGTGATAAAATTGACTGTTGTTTGGAGTTCTTTTAGTTCCATACAACTCGTTCTGCACCAATTGGTGGTATATTGATGCATGACACGCTAGATATTGTTAGAGGCCTTTGAGAGTGAGTGAACAGTGCAGAGGCACACATAGATCATTGCTGCCTGAGAAGTACGGTGGTGCAAAGAATGACCAGAGGATCTGAACGACGCACACCACTCAGGGGGAAAGGAGAGACAAATATACAATCAGACTGTCACTGTACCATTGAATTGGAACTCTGCACTTACTGCTACAGATAAGGATGGAGCACTTATGGAAATATCTGGCGTCCTGTGTTGTCGATTCTTGATTCAACGTCATTTTTAGTCCGAGTGTCAATCCTTAGCAGCAAGGACAGAGTTCCAATTCAATGGTACAGTGACAGTCTGTATATCCGTCTCTCCTTTCCCCCCGGAGTGGCATGCGTCAGCCAGATCCTTTTTGTCATTCTTCGAACCACCCTACTTCTCATATATCGATGATCTATGTGTGCACCAGCAAGTGTGCTTTTGGCAGGCGTATGAGTGTATGTATTTCCGTATATGCGTGCGGGTGTGTGTGTGTGTGAGTGTTTACCACTTCGCATTTGGGTATCCATGCTGAATTTTAGTAATATTGTGAGATGGTATTTTGGCTGCGGGACTCCAGTAGCACAGATATATCTTCTTGTAGGGAGTCAGCAGTCTGAAACCCAAGTTCGAGGTGCTTCCTTCGTGCCAAAGAACTGCATGGCTGTAGTGTGAGCAGTAGTTGACGAAGGCAGTCAGGTCGTTGTAGAGGTGTCGCTTAGCTGATGATTGTATTGTCCTAAGTCCCTTCTCCAGCACAGAGTGAAGGCACTGCTGGAGTAACCATTTATTAACCTCACATAAACTATATACAACCATGAAATAAAAAAATTTTTCACAGAATCTTCACGGAGCTACGGCGATCGTGCTCTGACGTCGATAAATAATGGTAGGTAGAAGAAGGAGAGAAAGATAGGAGCTGATAAGAAGAGGACTAGACAAACTGACAGATTATCTATTAAGTTCATTTGTGTTGGATACTGGAATTGCCGAAGCGCGAAGCAACAAGCACACAGTGTCGAAAATAGTGTATGACTTTGATATCCTCATGATCCAGAAAACCAGAATAACAGATGAATCGATCTTTAAACGCCCATGATATGATTGCTACAGTGATCCCGGTAGAAAGTGGATCGCAAAACCGAGATTTAACAATGTGTGCCAAGCATGTGATCCAAGATTGATGGCTAGATACACAAGTTTATAATAGTGAAATGCTTGGGATTCAAGGATTAGTTGTTATCATAGACCACCACGACTGGTACATCTTTAACGTATACGTGCATGTGGATCCGCTTCCGAATAAAGGCGCATGGAAATTGCTAGCATATTTGGAGGAGTATGATAGAAAATGTTTAATAGCTGGTGACATTAACGCTCGGTCCCAAAAGTGGGGAAAACAGACAGGGAGTTGCACTGAGTCAGGCCCTACTAAGCACTAGGTTCACTGTTTTAAACTATGGTCGTGCCACAAGATTAGTAGAGACAGCCGGAGGCTCGGATGGAATGGTCGACCTAGCTTAAGTGTCAAATACTGATGCACAAATAATGCGTAAGGAAGGGGGGGGGGGGGCAATAAAGTGGCCATCTGTAATGCGTCGTTCTCATCCCAAAGGGACAGGCTGTTGAGCAAATGAAACCACGACACACGTTTAAATGTACGATCAATAAAGATTAGGTTGGTACATTGCAATCGTTGCGCTAAACAGCAGACAAAAGATACAAAAAAACGACATTTGTGCAACCACCGTGGTAAAACGAACAGGTGTAAAAGGCATGGAAAGCAAAAACATTGGCTACGAATACATAGCAGAAAGCATGAAAACTAAGATCAGCAAATTATGAAAATAGTGAGCGAAAACATCAAGAAAAACAAATCCTGAGTAATGCATTCAAAATCTGTGCCAAAGAAGCAGACTGTGATAAAATGCAAGTGTGGCCTGAAAACGATGGTGGCGACAAACATGGAACAGAGATCATTCGTCTTATTGTTCAACCATTTGGTCCTTTCTGTAATCGATTAAGGCCTAGGAATATTAATTCTGTCTACTTCATAGTGTACAAAGCTTGAAAGGATTACATTAAGGAATGAGAATCGGCTTGGGCTGTACACGAGATGTCCCAATTAGAACAATGGGGTATATGTTTGTGCTGACATCTGTCAAGACTAGACTGTCACTGGCGCAAGCCAAGACCTACTATATGCGAATTACTAATGATGAAAGGCATCCGCTGCATCGTAATCTGGGCGATTTAAGAGGAGACCGGTTGAAAAGAGGAAAGTCATGGATGGCACAGTTGAAGATACCATCGAGACTGCGGCCTCGGCCAAGCAAATACACAGAGGGCAGCAGTGGATTGACGCGAACACACAAAACAGCAGCTTCTATCACGTCATTATCACGCTAGGAAGAGAATATAGAGAGTGTTGTAACTGTATGGCATAATTAGAGGTACAACAACTGATGGGTGGAAAGGCTGGACTAGATGATGCATTAGTGTACACCGATGGTTCTGTTAATTGGAATGTCAGATCTGGCTGGGGAATTTCAGCTAGAATGAAGGGGGAAATTGTGGCAGAGCAAAATTGAAAATGTAGCTTTTCCTATCTACAACGTCAAACATGAGGATGGAAGTAGAGGCAATTACTGCAGCTCTGAATTCGATAGTAGAAAACAAAGTTACCATAGGAACTGTTGTGTTTGATTCTCAGTCGGTACTGTGAAAGGTTCAAACTGGACTAACGTGGCATGAGTGGATACTATGCATCGATACGCCAACATTGCATGGAATCACGTGGATATACTGTCCGGGATATGCAAGAGTGCGTGGGAATGAAAGAGCGGATTTTCTAGCTACAAAAACGAAAGCTACGGGAACACTCGTACTGAACTAGGGAGATATTCTGAAGACCATATATGAAAGACTGCTGACAGAAGACAAGAGATTAGATGAAATAACGTGTGCAAGAATGTGCGAACCAGGAACTAAGTGTGGATCCGGCAAGGAGGGTCGGATGAGAGGAGGAGAACGGCGTGTGTATAATCAGCGTGCTACAGGAACAGTTGGCATCTACACCTTAAGACATTTGCTGCGTGAGACGAAGCATCTATGTGTATGCCCGGTGAGCTATGATGTCGATTCTTAAATCAGTATTCCGAGTGATTTTGTCATGTTTTTCAGTATTCTACAATGAACGCGCATCACTCAGTGTAAGGAGTTCATCTATCTAAAACTTTGTCTTTTGTGTGAATTTCAATTTTCTTTCGACGTTCGGTGCAGGAGAGCCTAGCATATGATACCACAACATCCAGCTTAAGAATGGAGGTGGAGGCGGTCACTGCAGCTTTCCGCTGGCTAGAGAACACGACAAACAAACACATCGTGATTGTAACTGATTCAGAAAGCATGCTGAGGAAGATCAGAACAGGTATGCTTCGTGCAGAGTGGCATGCTTCGCTGCGGAGGACACGAGTGAGGAGTATTGTCTGGATTTTTTTGCCGGGTAACGCCGGTGTGTTGGGAAATGAATAGGCGGACAGACTGGCTGGCTCTGCACAACTTGGTGGAACACTGCTACATGATAGAGCAGATGTGGTTAGTGCCTTGTGGGAGAGCGTGTACAATGCAAAGAAGCAGATGGATCACCACAGTCTGGTGAGATTGGTGCAGTTGGGGGTGACGAGAGGTTCTGGCTGAAGCTCGAGGCCCAGAGGAAAGGCAAGACGGACGTTTAATCAGAAAGCTACTGGCACCATTAGTATCGGAACTCTTCGCTGGCTGCTGAAGATGGGGACGGAGCGCTTATAGGAATGCCCCGAGTTCTGTGATGTCGGTTCTTGAATCAAATCAAATGAAATCAAATCAATTTTCTCTAGTTGCGGAGACGGCAACAACACTTCATATCGATTTTGATTGAAACATTAAAAATACAAACTAAAAAAAAGAGAATACAATTTCCGGCGAAACAATTGCTATTTACGTTAGCCAGCAGAGACTAGCAGTTGTGACTCATCTCCCGACAACTATGGCAGACCCCAAATATGCTAATCTTCCGGGGATTGTAAGTTGCTTTTGAGACTATACAAACTGTTTCGTGTGTAAGAATGATGGTGGATAAAGCCTTCGGAGAAAAGAATGTGTACATTATAACAAGATAGTCGTATTCTTTCACATTAGCAGTCCGGCAAAATCAAAGTGTGAAAAAATCGATTTCATTCATGGATTTAATTAATTTATTTATCATAAGTATCAATGTCTAATACTAATAACCACTGTAAATAATAACAGGTAATATTAATGATAATAATGCACGATCTGTAATTCACCAAATTGTAAGCACAATTAATAATACCGAACAATTACAGCTATATAGTATTATAATAGATAAACTCATAAAGAAAATGAATATTTTTTTGGCTATCCTCCGAACTTCTACTCCCAAATTATGGCGGCCTGAAATATCCGTTCAGGGCTCAGTTCTATTAAAAATATGCCGGCTCCGTGTAACGAAACAAATGCTCTAACAGGGTCTCAGCTATATGTTACTTGCGGACCTGTTTCTCATTGTTTTTGATTACCTGACAATTCTAAGAGACGCAACACTGCAGACGATAGTAGCAGACGATAATAATAGCGATGGTTGACACTTTCCATTGTCGGAATTTCTGGCGAGAAACAAATATGTAAAATCGGGACTTGTCAGACTTTCTGCCGACGAACAAATCGCGGCAAATCTAGGATCAGCTCGGACAAGCGAAACAAATGCTATAACAGGGTCTCAGCGATATGTTACTTGCGGACATGTTTCTGTGACAATGCCTCACCGCTGACGGTATCCCCTGCGCCGCTACGTGCAGCGCGGATAGGGGCTAAACTAGATGGCTGGGACTCACGAGCAGCAGCTACCGCATCTCCTGCAACTTCCTCCAATTACTTTGCTCATGAGTCCCAGGCACCTAGTTTAGCCCCCCCCCCCCCCCCCCCCCCCATCCGTGCAGCGGGTAGCGGTGCGGGGGATACCCTCGGCGGTGAGTTTAATTGCGTTTTGCGCATGCCGACAAGTCTGACATCTACCACTGCTAAATCCTCAATCGGAAGAACAGTATTGATAATGTGCATGGGAGCCCGTGGTCTACCCGCCATTTCGCTTTCATCGTCTGTAATGTCTCAAAATTGTCAACGGTCGCTTTTATCGTCTGCTAGTATCGTCTGCAGAAACGCTTGACATTGTCACCGGTCGCTTTTATCATCTGCTACTATCGTCTGCAATGTTGCGTCTCTTGAAATTGTCAAGTAATCCTAGTTTTGCCGCGATTTGTTCCTTGGCAGAAAGTCCGCATTTTTCATTGGACTGAGCCCCAAACGGATATTTCAGGCCGCCATACTGCGGCGGTAGAAGTTCGGAGGAGTGCCCTTTTTTTTTGCTCTTCTCCGAACTTCTACCAGATATTATGGCGGCCAAGCAAATACCTCAGGGCCTCAGTCGTGTGTAAAATGCGGACTTTCTGCCAAGGAACAAATCGCGGCAAAGCTAGGATCGACTCCGAATAATGAAACAAATGCTCTAACTGGGTCTCAGCGATATGTTAATTGCGGACCTGTTTCTGCGACTATGCCACACCGCCGACAGTATCCCCCTGTGGTGGGGCTAAACTAGATGGCTGGGACTCACGAGCAGCAGATACTGCAACTTCCTCTATTTTATTTGCTTGTGAGTCCCAGGCATCTAGTTTAGATACCCATCCACGCCGCGCATAGCGGCGCAGGGGATACTGTCGGCTGTGAGTTTAACAGCGTTTTGCGCATGCGGAAAAGTGTGAGGACAACAATGACGCTAATATGCGGCTTTTATCGTCTGTAATGTTGCGTGTCTTGAAATTGTCAATGGTGGCAATTATCGTCTGCTAGTATCGTCTGCAGAAACACTTGAAATTGTCAACAGTCGCTATTATCGTCTGGTACTATCGTCTGCAGTGTTGCTTCTCTTGAAATTGTCAAGTAATCCTAGTTTTGCCGCGATTTGTTCCTTGGCAGAAAGTCCGCATTTTACACATGACTGAAGCCCTGTTAGGCTATTTGCCTGGCTGCCATAATATCGGGTAGAAGTTCTGAGGAGAGCCCTTTTTTTCAACATCGGTCAAGTCAGATGCAGTAAAAGTAAAGCAAACAAAGTATCGTGACATGTAGCCCTCCTCTTACAGCATAGACAGCTTCACTCGGCAGAAAGAAACACCTCATGCAAAGCATATCCATTCCCTCTCTGCTACCAGTGCCACCAGACATGGTCATTCATAACAAACCTTAAAGAGATTATTAACCATGAAAAAAGGAGTTTCCAAAACTAGTCTTAGTCTGGATGTCTAGTTCAAGAATGACTGAAAACACTCACTGAGACTGGTCCAGCAATATGTCTATGTGGGTACAGTTTGTTAAAACCATTCCACTTGAGGCTCGTCAAGTAACAAAATTAATTAATTTTGTGGACATTGATGATGGAAATTTGTCGAAAACTTTTGGAATGAAGTTGAATTAAGACTACTAACAAAACACACATCTAATTTAATCCATCTTACAATTTCTGCACTCACTCATGTTTCCAATGCATTCATCTGACTGAAACACATTTATCTAAATCAGGATGTAAACTCCCCGGATGTATATGAATCCACTGACCTGCCTGAAGATGAGCAGAATGTGCCAGTGACAGAACCAGTAAGTTTGAAACAGTTGTGTATCACCATCGTCTTCATGTTAACCGGATGTAAACTCTTGCAGAAAGTTGTCATTGTTCGTCCAATTCTAGACTTTACTCTTGCTCCAGAACTGGAGTTTTGAGTGTACATCTGTTTTATGCTCTGCTGGCTTATTTGTTTGCATACAGTTGATTCCTTGCCTGTCTGGCCGATGTACTCAAGACTTCAAAGGAAACACCACTAATTAGTTGACTTTTATGACATGCTTCTTAGGGGACTGTGGGCCCCAGCCCCCCTCCCCCGCACCCCTTTTCCGAAATGGTTATCAGTTAAAGCCCTAAAAAGTAAAGGCGGCCAGTGGGATGTTGACCACACCGAGTGCTGATCGGTCTACAGAATATAGGTCTAGCCCTATGTGCCAAATGTGCTTGAAGGCATGGGAAGAAGTCCTTTACTTTATTTTTTTTTACATATATGTTCAAGAGGGCTTAGTGGCCAGATTCTCACCTGCCAGCCCACAAGTCTTGGGTTCAAATTCATGTCAAGTCAAAGTTTTTCTCTTCAGAAAAATGATCATGGCTTCCAGGTTAGCCCAGACTAAAATGAGAAGTAAAGATGCCCACCATGATGTTGACTACACCAACAATTGAGTGCCGATTGGTCTGTAAATTAAGAGTCTAGCATCAGTTACATATACATGCATTTTGTTGAGAAAAAAAGCATAATAGAATTAGCTACTGATAAAGCCAGATTTCTTTAGTAGGCTGTGGCCAAAGAAAAAAAAATATACATTAATTTTGTATGTAGTTGTTAGGATTGATCCGGAAAATGAATTACACAACAAACCTTAGTAGAGACTAAAATAAACATTTATGTCTGAGATACTGAAAATAAAAGAAACATGATAATTATATAGCTAAAGTGACCTTGCATAGGAGCTCCAATGGCAGTAGATGTTGAGGTGGATTCTAAAAAATGGAGAGGATAATAAGACAGAATTAAATGTTAAAGTCTGGTAGTCTTAGTTTCAGCTTCATAGCAAACAGGTCACCCCATCTTTGCTCCGCTCCTGTGCCAACGAACAACACACAGAATGTTTATCACAGTCCCTTGTGGAAAGATTGACAGACTGCTGTTTCAGCATGTCTAGCATACACTCGCATTAAAGCATACGGTAGCCATCCGAAGTGCTAACACAAACAGTCCGACATTAGAAATGCAGTTCATCATTGATGGTAGCAGAAGTCACCAACAGATCAGCAGTTGCCCACGCGATCAATTTTAATCACACAGAATGTTTTTCACAGTCCCTTGTGGAAAGATTGACAGACTGCTGTTTCAGCATGTCTAGCATACACTCGCATTAAAGCATACGCTAGCCATCCGAAGTGCTAACACAAACAGTAAGACATTAGAAATGCAGTTCATCATTGATGGTAGCAGAAGTCACCAACAGATCAGCAGTTGCCCACGCGATCAATTTTAATCACATATTGACACCACCAACATTGCAACGACAGGCATCGTGCCATTTTCTGAATCTACAATTCACACTACCACGTTGGTCACAGTCAAAAAAACATTCCAAATGAAATCCGCAAATCACAGTATCATGCCATACATTCAAATCAGAAGCTGGGCAACGAAACTATATCCAGTCTACAAATGGAGCAACACTGCATCGGCCACCGTCCAGCAGAAGCAAAATATTTGCCTCGGCTCCAAACAGTGCCCCCGCCTAGCGTCCATTGTGACCGGAAGTCCTAAAAAAGTTATAGAAGAGAGGATATGCTTCATTGCACCAGGTTATCCCTTATAGCTCTGTCTCTTCATGGAATGGCTAGCCATCTAAAGAGAGTATTGCACAAAATCTGGAGTTTCAATGATGATCCCCAGGGATCTCTGTAAACATTGCACTCACGAACCGAATGATGTGTCTGTGAAACAAACCCACAACCTCCAGAGCTCAAAGTAAATGCCTTGACCACTTTACCATGGGGGTCCCTAGTTGAATACTATAAAATAGAAAAGAATGTAACTTGAGATGGAAAAAATTGGCAATTTGTTTTTCTTTTTGGTTTTTTGGGGTTGAAAATTGTGTGTGTGTGGGGGGAGGGGGGTGAGGCATCCAATGTGAGATACAGATGAAGTTGAACATTGAAATATTCATCATCAATCAGCAAGTCCTTTAAAGAACTTCGCTCTCCCCACGGCACGCCTGAAAGTATTCCTTTCCCTAGGCAGCTCTCCAGCCCCATGTGCTTTCAATGCCAATACATCTTCAATGTCCTGTATCCATCTTCACGGTGGTCGACCCCTGCCTCGCCTTCCACAAACTGCGCCTTCCATCACTGTCTTTTCCAAGCCACCATGACACTAGATGAGGCCAAACTTTCGGGACAGGATACTGTTTATGAGCCAGTTCTCCTTGATGTTCAACTCGTTCAGAATGTCGATGTGTTTCCTCTTCCTGATCCCTGGTATTCTAAGAATTTTTTTATAACATTGTATTTCAAATTCTTCAATCTTTTTCCCTGAGTGACTGAGTGAGAGTCCAAGACTCACAACCGTAAGTTGCCACAGGAAAAATGCATGATCTCAAGATTTTTACTTTAACCAATTTACTAGTGCTTTGAAATGTTACTTGGCTGATGTTTGGTCTGCAGGAAGAGATACAGAATGAAAGTGTGGAGCGCACATCAATCAATACAGATGCTGCTTTTAAAGCTTTCAAAGGGAAGTCATTGGCTTTAGGGAAAACAGGTATTTCTTGGTTTGTTGAAGCTTTGCATGAACTGAACTGAACGTTGTACACATCTACAGCCGTTTTGAATCTTTTATAAATGGAGGCATAAATTCAAGTCTTCATTTTAAAGTGATGCAATAAGTTGGTGAAACTGGCAGGAAGCAGCTGATTGTTTACTTGAACATATTATGAATATTCATCAGGAGGCATGTAAACCAGTCTTTGTCCATTTTAAAGTTCTGACCACAGAGGCAAAACCAATAACTCTGTCACCATCAGAGCCTTCTTTTTTTTCTAGAATTTTTGTTTTCTGGTTCTCACTACAAAGCATCTAAAATAGCTTCTTGTTTAGCTTCTGAGTTGAAGCTTGTGTCCAGAGAATTCATTCTAGGTACCATGGAGTCTGCTATAAGACCAATAAACACCCTATAAATCATATTCATATCTCTACTGTAGTAAAATTGACACATGGATCCTCATTAGAATGATAGCATGGATCCTTGTTAGAATCATAGCATGGATCCTCATTAGAATGATAGCATTGATCCTTATTAGAATGACGGAATATTACCTCATTTTTTTTAAATCTCAGACACACACTTATTACCATATTTATGAGTGTATAGGCAGCAGTTTTTTTAAACTGAAAATCATTGATGAAAAATAGGGTGGATTTCTTCAAGATATAAGGCCCACATGTCACTTGTGCAAAATAGAGAGCTGGCACACATACCAGAACCTTAGCCACTTATGTGGCACAAATAAACCAGATCACAAATATAACCGGAGACTGTTGGCAGCAGGTTGAACATGGTCAAGATTATTTTTTTTTAACGGAATTGGAATTGTGCAAGATTGATTAATAAACAGTACAACAATTATCCAGTCATCCACCCTTTCTCTTGCACTCCTATCAATATTCCAGGCGGTAGCATCTCCTTCGGCACGGATTTACGTTTAAAAATGACGCAAGGTAGGAGTTTGTGGCCGTCATCAGTGACACCTGTCATGGTACAGCGCTGGTTTTCTGCTCCTGAAGTTCCAATGTTTACTGTTTGTTCATCAGCTTTATTCACTGTTGTTTCACCTGGCGTATCAAAGAATACAGGAGTTTCATCTATTTTCCAATTGCCCCATATTGTTGTGTGTCTTCTGTAACTTTAGAACATGTCTGTGAAATGCATTATCTTCAGGTATGTGTCAGGAAGTTGCTGCACCATTGTTGTCATCTGCCAGGTAAAAAAAGCTGTTTCATGCCATAAGGGCCTTTCTCAATCACAACTGGCTTTAAACTCACTCTGAGGATTTCCCATCTTACACTGCTTACTACTGTTTTGGTTTTGGTCTCTCTATGAAAGTCTAAGAAGATTATCTGGGCACGTATAAATATGGTACTTCACTTGTTCTGTTTCAAGGGGTTATACTTTAAAGCATTCGGTGTGTAAGCCTGAATGGTTTACAAGAGAGAGAGAGAGATTATTCTTGTTCCGCATTCACCATTAAAATTGTGTTGTAGTTTACAGCAAGGCTGCAATATTTGTACCATATAACCCAACTCATCTGATTTCAGCAAACCTGTGATTAATTTATGTTAAATCATGCATTTAGGGGTAGAGAGGGGGGGTGCAGTGGGTCAACCCCCTTCCCCCCCCCCCCCCCCCCCTTCCAGTGTGGTTTCAGAACCAGCTGGAGGTTTGCAGTTGAAGATAGATACTAAGCAAACTGTTCTGATAGATTACTCTGATAAGTTTGCGGTAGAACAGAGCACAAGCACTACATCTTTTTTGCATTCACATACATAAACATGTGCTATGCTGTCTGCAACCTAAAGGATTAATAAGGCAGTTTTGAAAAACATGAGATAAATAATTGTTAATCTGTTATTTCTCATAACGGTTAACAGTTACAAATGAGCACCAAAACATTGGTTCATAATTTAAGTGACATTGTTTTTTTATGGACCAGATTTTTCAGACAGTGTTGGAAAGTCAAGGACTATTGGTTACTTCGCAGAAAGGACAGAATATGAACTTGTGAGTAAATTCATCAAGAAATTATAGAATTAAACTGCTTTTTGTTTCTTTTATATGTATGTATGTGTGTCGGCTCTGGGGCTAAGTCGATGCGAACGCTTCGTAATGCCGGGATGCCGGGTTCGATCCCAGCTGTGGGCTATGTGTCTTACGTTGGTTTCGACAGTGGTATCAAGAAAGCCGACCGTCCAGAAAGCAATGGCAAACTACTGGACAAATTTGCCTAGAAAAACCACACAACAGCCAGGGGCTGTTGGGGTTGGTTCTGCAACGTCCTGTAAAGGATACGCAACTAACCTATGTATGTGTGTATGTCTGTCTGTGTGTGTGCATGCAGGCGTGGGTGCATGAGAGAGAGAGAGATATGTCTGTCTGTCTGTCTGTCTGTCTGTCTCTCTGTCTCTCTGTCTCTCTCTCTCTCTCTCTCTCTCTGTGTGCGCGTGCATGCATGCGTGCGTGCGCGCCTGTCTGTCATGTCATGTCATGTCATGAGAATAAAATTGTTCAAGAATTTATGTTTAAACTATCAGTTGATATCTGAAACGTAGCAGCTGTGATAGTGTGGAGGCACACTTAAACAAAATAGGCATACAAGAATCTGCCATTTGTAGATGAGGAACAGACAGGCAGACTGACTCATAGGCTTGTTTCCTCGGATCGCCCTAACTACGCCAGGTAGAGGTTGTAGATCTGGCCTAATGAAACAAGGCAAGCTGTGGGGGTGACCTTAGACACTCTGACCTGTTTTTGACCCAGATGGAACTAAATTTTTACAGTGGCTGATGTCAAACACAGAAGAAAAAAAAAATGGCCTGGTGTCTTTTTGAAGTCATAGGTAGAGTGGGCAGGTCTGCAGAGTGTGCTCAGGTGTTGGTGGTCCTATTTGACAGGCACTAGGGGGACTGTACAATCTTTATTTTATGCATGTGGTAGTTGAGCCTGCAGTGTCCTGTTCGTAGACGGAAAATTGTCATATGTTGCTTTCTGTTGAGTCTGCTGATGGGGTCTTGTGTATGTTTACTGTTAGTTTGTTCTCTCCACAATTCCTTGAATTTTCCCTTGATAAGTGCTCTGATTTCTGGTAATGACAATGAATTATTGTGTTGTTTCTCCTTTGTTCTATTTCTTGCAAGTTTGTCTGCTAACTCATTTCCTGGAATGCTCCAGTGAGCTGGGATCCACTGAAGAACGATTTGATTGTTTGCAAATCTGTTTAGCTGGCAGGTCAGTTCTCTCTCCTTGTTGTCTCTGGATTCCTCTGAGTCACCTGGAAGTCTGACATGCAGTCACAAATTAGAACAATTTTGGGTTCTCCTTAAAACTACGGCCACTTATTATGGAGTATGCCAGAGTTCAGTCCCCTGGCTGCATTGCAATTACGGAGTGGAAAGGTGGGAACGAAACAAATGACGTACTTACTGTGTGTTGGCGATAGATGCACTGCTGTCATGTTAGGGTTAGGTTTGGGTTAGGGTTAGGGGTAGGGTTATGGTTAAGGTAGGGTTAGGAGTGGACGTAGTTTTAAGGAGTACCAATACCCTAACTCTAATTCAAATCCTAATACTAACCCAAAACCTAACCCTATTATGACAGCAGTGCATCTATCGCCCACACACAGTAATTATGTCATCGATTCACGCTGTCTCTTGCCAACACACAGTAATTACGTCATTTGTTTCGTTCCCTCTTGTCCACTCCGTAATTGCAATGCGGCCAGGGGACTGAACTCCGGCGTACTCCATAATAAGTGGCCGTAGTTTTAAGGAGAACGCAATTTTGCTGTTTTTAATTTTTCTTTCCTCAAGCACTTTGGCTGAATAAGTAATTGCTTGCTGCTCTGCTCTAAAGTTTGTTGAGAGTCTTCCGGAGGTACATGATGTTTTAACTGTGGTCCCATCTTGTAGCATGATGACAGATCCAGCTCCTCCATTTTTTTTTTCTGCTTCCTCCAATGATCTGTTGGTGAATACATTTCATATAATACAGTTAAAAGCTCATGTATTTGAAACTCACTTCAGTGTGGGTTCCGGTGTCCCATTCTGAGGAAAACAAGAATAGATCCACTGCCTCCCCAATAAAGCATATCGTAAGAGTTGACTGTTAGAAGTTTCCTTCGAAGTCAGAGTGAATCTGCCTGAGAGGCAAGAAAACAACAGTCTGCTTTCAAATAAGTCAGATCTGTAAAACGGATATGCATGCAACACTCAGGTTCTAGAGTAGGACTAGAGTCCAGAGGTAAGGGAACAACAGGAACTCTCCACTGGAGTTTACAACCGTTGGAAGGTGAAGAAGAAACTCATTCAGTCTGAGATTTAAAACAAAAGTATCCTAGACCTCTAGACTCAGACTAAAGTGAGTACCAGGAAGTTATTTAGAAACAAAGGCTGTTGGGGTGGTATTGTTCCTATTACCTGTTAAGTACACTTTTGGTTTATTAAAACATAGTATGCACACCGTTATCCCAGTACAGCTCAGTGTTGGATACAGAAGGGTCCATTATTTACTCTTAACATCTATGAAGCTAGATCAGTGGTGCTTTTGTTTGTAATTAGTGACGGAAGGGTTGTGTGAAATTTGAGCTTTGTTAGAAGACATTAATTGTTGCAGCAATTTTTAAAATGAGTGATCATGCCTCGCCACACTCTGCAATCTGCAACTGAGTGTATCAGTTTGTGTGCTGACATACTTTTGAATGCCTTTTTACAAATTTCCTGCCACGACAAATGAGCTGATAAAAAAAAATTCAGCTAAGAAGACTTAATTTTATACGATTTATAATGTTATTTTATATGATTTATCCTGAATTTTATATGATTTATAATGTTGCTTACAGCTGATGATTTTTCCCTATATATATTTCTTAACGTACCGCACATTGAGTAGAGTTTGTAACTGGCTTAATGTAATTGAGGTTGTGGATACAATTCTTTGCAGACAGAGAGTGGCAGTAAAGAAGAGACTTTGCAACAAAAGATCCAACGGCTACAGTTTGAGATTCGTGAGCTGGCTGAAGATGTTGGGAAGATCAAGGTAGTTGATTATGAAATCCACCATCATCATTGTCCTGTTATGCCATTGTATGTCACATTGGGCTTGAAGTCTGTTCCTGCTCTGTTCCCTCCTGTGCAATCGTTTTTACTTGGCTTGAATCCAGTCCAGCACTTTTGGACACTCTCATCACCATTTATTTTAGAGTGTCTTTTGGATGTTCTTGTTTCCTCAGTCCCTTTATTTCCCATTTTAATGCCTGTTTGACCCACTGCTGGCTGCATGAATTAGCTCGACCTAGCCTAAAATTGGTAACAGGATGGCTGTCCTGGGGAAGTGAAGATCCCCTGCCTAATGCTGACCACATTACCCACCTAGTGCTGATGGTCTGTAAACATATGGGCGCTCTTTCCACATACCCAATACGCTTAAATATGTACCTTTACGAGTCACCGTGGCTTAGCGGCCAGACACTCGCGTGCGGATCGAAAGGTCGTGGGTTCACCCCCTGGCGGAGCCATACTTTTAAGAAAAATGACCTTGTCTCCCAGGTCGACCCAGCCTTGAATGGGAACCTGGTGCAATCCTTGGAAGTAAAGGCGGCTGGCTTGATGCTGACCACATCACCCATCTTCTTCCGATTGGTCTATAAAAATATAGGTCGAGCCCTATATGCCCTTTAAACCTAAAGGTGTGGACAAGGGCCCTTAACTGTTTTTTTTTTTTACTTACAATGCCTGTTTGATGATTCTCTGCTCATTTCTTCTTAGGAAGCATCAAGTATAGGGCTATCTTCTTTATTTTATAACTTTTGCTATCAGTTATTACCCAGACATTTCTCTGATTTACCACACTTGAATTCATCCCAGTGTGTGTTCCATATTTTCTGTTATGAACATTATTTAGGTACAGGGTAGGCAACATTGATGGGACATGTTTTGAGTTAGGCTATTATGAGAAAAACTGTAGCGATGCCACCTGGCAATGTATGGGTGGATGATGATGAATGGTTAAGTTAGAGTAAGGCCATTATGAGAAAAACTGTAGCGATGCTACCTGGCAATGTACGGGTGGATTATGATGTAGTTATAAGAATGGTTAAGTTAGAGTAAGGAAAGGACATTTTGAAAAAAACTGTAGCGATGCCACCTGGCAATGTATGGGTGGATGATGATGAATGGTTAAGCTAGAGTAAGGCCATTATGAGAAAATCTGTAGCGATGCTACCTGGCAATGTACGGGTGGATTATGATGTAGTTATAAGAATGGTTAAGTTAGAGTAAGGAAAGGACATTATGAGAAAAACTGTAGTGGAAGTGTAGCTGTTGAGAAAAAAATGACAATAATATACGAGAAAAAGAGAATGCTAAGTTACTGGTAGGTGTAAGAGTTCCAAGATCTTCTTCAGAACTATAGGAAAAGAACAAATGAAATGTATAAAACTGTCGACAGAAAAGTTGGTATTGAGAATTTAACTTTATTTTGAAGAGAAACATATAATCAGGAGAAACAAAGGAAACAAACTCAAGTCGAGAGAATCAACTTCATAGCATTGGGTTTTATCTCATATGATGGGGTCTCTTCACAGTTTGGTTAGCCAACTGCCAAGAGTGATATACAAGCACTGACTCTGTAGCTCCAGTGGTGATCCCCAGGGATCTCTTTAAAAATTGCACTCGTAAACTAAACACCACATTTGTAAAACCAACCTATGACCAGAGTCTGGAGCAAATGGCTTGACCACGGAGGACTCCCCCCTCCCCCTCCTTTCCAAAGGGAAACAAAGTATATAGGGCACCAGCAGCTGGCTAACAAATAGTAATACAAAAGAAATACTGAGTTAAGTAAAATATCAGATAACTGAGAGCAGGGGGGATTATAGAAATATCACTCATGGGTCCTGGGCCACATTTGTGGGGGGGGGGGGGGGGGATATTGGGAATGAGCCCCTAAGTCCCTAGCAAGCATTTCATGGAAGCAACTTAGTTAAGAGTTTGCTAAAATTGAACCTGTTCGGCCAAAATCTTCATTGGCTGCTGGAGAAGGGGCCCAGCAGGTTTTGGAAATATCTTTGAGTGCAGTGATGTCAAATCATTCGCTCATTTATTCTTTCATACAGGAAAATGTCAGTGAAGCTGGTTCCGACAAGTCCGTCTCACCTGTCAGTATTGGGAAGCAGCTTGAGTACCTCCAGCATCAGCTTGCAGACCTTCACCTGGAGAAACTGCTGGGCCCTGAAGCCACGCTGGACTTAGCTGATCCTCAGGGAGCACTTCAGAAGTAAACTAGTTTAGCAATGCTGAAAGTGCTCACAAGCTGTTTTTGTTGTTGTTATTTTAGCAATGCTGAAAGTGCTGAGAAGCTGTTTTTGCTGTTGTTATTTTAGCAGTGCTGAGGGTGCTTAGAAGCTGTTATTGTTATTTTAGCAATGCTGAAAGTGCTCAGGAGCTGTTTTTGTTATTGTTATTATAAGTGCTAAAAGTATTCTGAAGATTTTGTTTTTTAAATTAAAATTATTGTTATTTTAGCAGTGTTGAAATTACTCTGAAGCTTTTTTTTTTCTTAATTATTTCAATTTTATCAGTGCTGAAAGTACTCTGAAGTTGTTTTTGTAATTGTTATTTTAGCAGTTCTGAAAGCACCCTGAAGCTCTTTTTATTATTTTAAAAATGAAATTGATTTAACAGTGGTTAAAGGCAAAAGGATTGACTTCACTGCACTAGATATTATGCCACAAGAATCTGTCTATCTCTGGAAAATGGCTAGACGCCTGCAGATGGTACCTCACAAGTCATGAACTTGATAGGTCCAGCAGTGATCCTGAGGGTTATCAATAAACATTACTCTGACAATGAACCCATGATCTTTAAAATTCAAGGCAATGACCGAGCTACTTTAACAGATGTTTTAGGGAAATGTAGCTATGTTAATTGTTCCCTGTGTTGGGTCCCAGGGCCCTATTTTGGAGGAAAACAGGGTTAAACAAGCGTTAGTCTCCCCAAACAAAGTAAGTCACGTTCCATTCATAAGTTTGTTGGGCTGGTCCACCTTCCTGCAGGTTACGGGTGTGCCGCTTTGTTGTTTGCCTTCAGAGTTTACTTGTATTTACGTTTTTATTCAGAGAAAGAGAATGCCTGTGACATAGGTTTCATCACTCTCTAAAGGGGTTTTGTGTTAGACCCAGTTTGACCATGTTTTTGTAGTGTTAAAAGCACTGGCGTGCTGAAATATGCAACACAAGATATCAACAGCTTTGTGGGAAACTCTCCATAATCTTGTGGCAAAGTAACGTGACTCAAGGTCGACCAATCAGAAGTGAGCTAGGCTGAAGATAGACTAATCAGAAGTGAGCTGGTGTGTAACACTGTGTAAATGGAGAGACTAACGTTTGTTTTACCGAAAACAGAATAGACACACTTACCCCTAACAAGTATGTCATTAAAGCCAACTTAATAGGGAATTTTTTCTCACAAAGTCAGAGTGTAACTGCCGGAGAGGTGAGCAACCAACAGTCTGCATACAGATAAGCCAGATCTATAAAATGGACATCCATGCAAAACTCAAGTTCTTGAAGCAGACCAAAGTTTAGAAGTGGATGAAAAACCAGAATTTTCAACTTGAATGTTAGTTAGTTAGTTAGTTGGGTTATCCTCATTGCACTCCGGACATGTCCATAGGTGCTCAGATCCTCCCCTCAGTATGAACCCCAACGTCCGATGGCTAATAGTACCAGTTCTATGTTGATTAACAAGTCTTCTGGCGTGTCTGGTGTGCGTCTCGTTTTTTGCTGTGCCGATCTTAATTCCCAAGTCTGCCATTCTGGCGAGTGATGTGGATTCACTGCCACCAAAGTCCTCTATCCTTCCCATTTCTCGGAGGGCATTGATAATATCAGCATGATCCATAGGCTGACCGTCGGTAGTGATAGCGGATCCAGCCAACCTGTCAGCTCTTTCATTTACATCGACGCCTGCGTTTCCCGGAACAAAAATAAAGGTGACTCCACACACAGTGGACTTCTGTAATGATTCAAGCCATTGTCTTCGCACTGAACCTGCTTGAACCCTCCGGATCATACTCATTGAATCACTGAGTATACACACGCGGGTGTATTTTTGTGTTTCAAGCCAGGCAAGCGCTTGCGTCACTGCCATCACCTCCATCGTCATGCTGCTGGTTGTCATGGAGAAGGCGCCGTTGGCTTCTTTGACTGTTCTGCCCGCTGAGCGTGCTGTAAATGCCCATGCGCTTCTTCTTTGGCGTATAACGGATCCATCTGTATAGATTATTGCATCTGCTTCATCTGAATTTTCACCGATGAGAGCGTTGACCTCTGCATTAACAGCAACAGGATTCTCTTCTCTGCATTGCCTGTTGAGTGTGACAATACAGGAAAATGTACAGATGAACGCCTGAGGCACAGGTATCCATTCTGCACCAGGTATGATGTCGGTTAGGCTGCATATTTGCCTAATAACATCTTCTGCCCGACCTAGCCACGATTTCCCCCTCTTCAGTCTGTCGCCCTTTTCACTAAAAAGCGCTTGATGCAGTGAGTGTTTCTTATCAGCACATATTTTGAGATATGCCCGAGCCCTCCACATCCTGATCCTTTGGTTCATTGTTGGAAAGTCAAGTAGATACCTCATTGCTCCACAGGATGTGTCTCTTGTACATCCCAAAATAATGCGCATGGCTTCATTTTGCACCTTTTCGAGTCGTTTAATCAGGGTAGCACTGACAGTGAGGATGGCCAGAGCGTATTCAATGGGGGAAAGGACCAGACCGTAGAATAGAAGTATTAGTAGTCTTTGCTCAATATTGGAAGCAGCCATAATCCTCATTGCAGATAGACCTTTGCGTGCTTTTGTTATCACATGGTCAACGTGTTCCCTGAATGACAAGCTGCGATCGAACCTCACCCCGAGAAACGTCATAACGTTGGTTCTGATCAATACATTATCACGCATTTTCACTTCTGGTAAGTCCGACTTGACAATGTGATTGTTCAATGTTGAATGTACAGCCAGTGAATGTTCAGACAAAGAAAAGGAACCATATTTCCACATATATTTCCAAAGCGTCACCTCAAATTAGTTCCTATATTTATAACCAAGGACATTTATATAATTCCAGTATTTCATTTTGAACTTTGCTACATAACACCAACTTTGTATGGATTTGTAACAAGTTGAAAGCACAGGTGGAAAGCCAGTTGCACACTTATTCTATGAAATGCAATCTTTACTTATTTGATTACACAGGAGGTTGTTGACACAGCTGGAGAGTTTTCAGCCACCTCCTGAAGAGAAACGGAAGGGGAAGGAGGCGAAAGAGGATGCCATGGACCATATCTTATATCAGCTGCATTATCGACCAGAACAAGCACAGTTCAGGAAAAATGCCAGGGTCAGTTTTTAGATTTAAGAGCTGAGGAAAGGACCCTTGTGTTGTATTGGGCATATGTTACTAGACCTATATTTATTTATGCCAATTGGCACTTGGGGGGGTTGATGTGGTTAGCATCATGCTGGCCACCTTTACTTCCCAGGACTTTACCTGGCTGGGTCAACCTGGAAACCAGTCCTTTTTTTTTTTACATACCCCCGAAAAAATAAAAAAAAAGGTTACAAAAAAGTGTGTAGTTGAAAAAAACTGAGTTACTGCCTTTATGTACCACGTTTTGCGGTGTAGGCAGGGGGGTCTTTGAGCCCAAGGATTTATGGCTGCATAGCTAGTGCTGTCGCCACGACTGTGCAGGTGAGGATTTTATTTTGCCTCCGACTGAAAAAATACCCAGCCTTACCGAGGATTCCTGCACGGGAGCCCAGTGTTCTAACCATTTGGCTAGTCACTCCTAGTGTAGTAGCTTGTTGGATTATTTTTTTTTATAGTGCCCTAGATTCTCAGAGTGATCCAGGTTAAAATGGGTAGCAGAGAATTGTCTGGAATATAAAGATGATCAGCATAATCACAACAGTATCACCCACTGAGTGCCGGTCAGCCTAAAGGTACAGAGCTGGTAACGTATTGGAGCACCTGCAAGTGAGTTGAAGTAAAAATCATGCATCTTTACTGTGGCAACTTGTTGATGTGTGAGCATGGACTTTTATTCAGTCATTGAAGACAAATTATAGCTTTTGAACTGAAATGCTTTGAAAGGGTTAATAGAATGCCAAGAACCAAAAAGAGGACAAACACCAACATCCAAAATAATCTGAACATCGAGGGGAATAGGCTCATTAACAGCGTCCTGTCCTGAAAGCTGTCATATTTTGGCCATGTTAAACATCATGGAGAGAATGGAGATGGAGGGTACAGATTCTGGAAAACAAGGCAGAGGCAGACCTCCACAAATAGGGATACAAGACATTGAAGATGCATTGGCTATGCAAACACTTAGAGCTAAAGAATTTGCTAGAGAAAGAGAGACTGTCAGGTGTGTCGTGTCCAGAGCAATGTTCTGTCAAAGTCCTGCTGATTGATGATGAGCAGCATATACCAGACACATCTAATGGTGTGAAAAATGTACATACTGTTGGCACCTTTTCTTGTTCTGTTGCGAGGCATGGGAATCACTGTTAACTAGCAAGGCTAGCTTGGCTTCAGAAGAATATTTCACAACAATGACTTGTAATTTAAGGATCATTACTGCAATCACATGTATTTAGCATGTTAACTGTCAAGACACCCAACTGTTAACCAACCTGTCTGCCTTCCTTTTCCTCCTTGTTCCATGTTAACTGTCAGACACCCATCTGTTAACTAACCTGTCTGCCTTCCTTTTCTTCCTTGTCCCATGTTAACTGTCAGACACCCAGCTGTTAACCAACCTGTCTGCCTTCCTTTTCTCCCTTGTCCCATGTTTATTGTCAGACACCCAGCTGTTAACCAACCTGTCTGCCTTCCTTTTCTTCCTTGTCCCATGTTTATTGTCAGACACCCAGCTGTTAACCAACCTGTCTGCCTTCCTTTTCTCCCTTGTCCCATGTTAACTGTCAGACACCCAGTTGTTAACCAACCTGTCTGCCTTCCTTTTCTTCCTTGTCCCATGTTTATTGTTAGACACCCAGCTGTTAACCAGCCTGTCTGCATTCCTTTTCTCTCTTGTCCCTATTCCCTGCCTAATTTGTTACCTCCATGTAGAGCCTGTCTGCATTCATTTTCTCCCTTGTCCCTATTCCTGGCCTAATTTGTTTCCTCCATGTAGTACATTCTATGGCATCCTGTTCTCATGAAACCACCTCAATACCTGTATTGTTTATGCCCTACTTGCACACATCCTTTAACTATATTAGAAGTAGTCATCTTGTACCTTTTTTTTTTTTTTTTTTTTTTTGCACATAATATTGTAAAACATTTAAATCTCTTATTTATTTGAGGAAAATTAAAATGAAACTGCCATAGACATAATGTTGTTGACTATGCATGTGCATATAGCATAATTTAAATGCATCACATGTTTGTTTATTATCCTTACAGCTGGCTGCACTGGAAGAAAGACTGGAACGTATAGAAAATGCTATTGGCAAGAACCATGACAAGATGGTATAGTTCTTCTTCTTCTTTTTTTTTTTTTTTTTAAATTCAATTTTAATTACATATTTTTGGGGCATTAATTCTTTGAGTCCTAAGGGGTAGTCAAGAGAGAAGTAAAATCAGGGTATCTTGTGTTTATTGGACTTATAAGTGTCTATGAATGTATGATGCATACCTTGAGACTGAAAGAGTTAAAACCAAAAGGTCCAATCAGCGTTTATGAAAGTGAAAACACCAAGAACTGTGAATGCGTTGGTTTGTAATTAACAACAGTGGAGATTGTTTACAAGAATTTAGAAGAAATATAGCTACAAGATCATTATCATCATCATCCTGTAAGACTGCCTGTTGTTGGCTCACCTGTTTTTGTCAGCTTCTAATCAGCACCCTGCACCTTTGACAATCAGCTGCCAGGGACTTCATGGTTACATGCTAAGGCTGTCCAGTCAGTCAAGTTCTGCATCTAGATCTTTCTTGGCCTGTCTCTTCTCTTCTTACCCTCTACTGAGCCCTGTTGTATTGTTTTTGGGAACTGATTGCACAGGATTGAATAGAAGGGGGGGGGGGGGATAGACTACAAGCCCTCTAATGGCACAACAGGATAGTAGTAAGGATGAGGATGATAGTTATAGGAATACAGAGGTTAAACAGAATGAAGAGAATGTATTACAACACCAGGAAACATTTTGGAAACATTTAAATGTCAGTCACAGATGATTTCCCAGTCGCTAATAAAAATGTGTGCTTTTAAACTTTAATATTGAAGAACACTTCTGAGCATGTATTTTGTAAGTTATCTGAATCCCAATTTCTTCTATCCAGCATTGTCAAATATATCACAACCTCTTCTTTGTCATTTACTGTACTGCTTTTTTTTTTTTTAAACAAAGCTGTCTGTCACAGCTTCTTTGTCATCATTTCCCTTACTTTTTTTTCCTGTAGCAACAATATATTACATCTCCATCATTGTTCTTACTTTTTCTGGAACACTGTCTATCACATTCTCATCTCTGTCATTTCTCTTACTTTTTTTTAAGCATCAAGGTCTATGACATTCTCTTTTCTGTCATTTCTCTTACTTTTTCTTTAGAATCAAGGTCTATTACATTCTCTTCTCTGTCATTTCTCTTACTTTTTCTTTAGCATCAAGGTCTATGACATTCTCTTCTCTGTCATTTCTCTTACTTTTTCTTTAGAATCAATGTCTATCACATTCTCTTCTCTGTCATTTCTATTACTTTTTTTGTAACATCACTGTCTATCACATCCCTCTCTCTGTCATTTCTCCTGATCTTTTATAATAACTTGATCAAGTCTAACTTAGCCTGTCTAAAATTATGTTTCTTTTATACTCATGGCATGATATGACTGCTCACAGTTCTTGAATTTCCTCATACTTCATTCTTCTTTTCTAAACTCATAACTTCTAGACTTCTACACGTTATGATTGTTGCTCACATTACATAAATCGGCCGTATCTGAGCCATTGCTTGGATCTGGTTTTTTCAGAATGTTCTGACCATGGATACAGACAACAAATCTCTGATTGTGAGTAATATCATGTTAATATCAGTGATTTGTTATATTTGTGTGCCTGTATGATACTGGCCTCATAGGGGAGGCAGAGAATAGTACCACTTCATCCTATCTGTCATATGTAAGAGGCAACTAAAGAAAGGATAAGGTGGGCTCTCCTATCTTATACAAAAGTTCCAGCTGCAAACACTAATGGATTGAACAGTTTGGTACAAGTTGGTTGAGGACTTGTATACTGTAAGTAAAGGAAGTAAAAGACCCTCTCCACGCCTGTAGGCATATAGGGCTAGACCAATATTTTATAGACTAATCAGCACAAGGTGGGTGATGTGGTCAGCGTAACGCCGGCCACCTTTACTTCCCGGGACTGCACCTGGTACCCACTCAAGGCTGGGTTGACCTGGGAACCAAGGTCATTTTTTAAAAAAGCTTGTCTCCATCAGGGAACGAACCCATCACCTTCCAATCCGCGGCGAGCGTCTAGCTGTTACGCCACGGCGACTCCCACATTTTTACTGTATTGCAGGATAAAGGACAAGAAGAAAAGAAGGAGGAGGAAAGAAGAACATAATTCTTGTGATTCAAGCTGCAGTTCGGATGAATAGGAGAAGATGGTGAACATTTTGGGACTTACAAGTTTACAGCCACTGCCAATAAGGTGCTGTAACAACAACAATATATATACACACACACATACAAACATTCATACACCTTATGTAAGAGAAATATATTATCAGTTTCTTATAGTATGCAATGACCAATTATATATAAGTGCAGTTACGTATGGCACTGTGTTTAGTACACACAGAGAATAGCTGATAACACAAGATGTGTTGGTTAGGGGAGAAAAGAGTTAATGTGGCTGCTAATGAATGACTGTGAAATGGTTGTTGGTTCACAACATAGTGCTGTTCTCCTGTGTTTGTTAGTCACAGACTACAGTAATAATTGTGTTGTCATCTAGGCAATGGTCACACAGTATAATGGTTCATTGTGGTATTAACCATATCTTCATCTAGTTCACTGGCTCTCAACCTTCCTAATGCTGCAACCCTTTAATACAGTTTTCTCATCTTGTGGTGACCCACAACATTTTTTTTTCTTCATAACTTCAATTAATGTGTTTTCCGATGGTCTTAGGCGACCTATGTGAAAGGGTCGTTCAACCCCCCCAAAAAGGGTGACGACCGGCAGGTTGAGAACCTCAGATCTAGTTGTTAGTCATACAATACAGAATGTATTATTTCTTTACCTGGTCATTGGTCACTATCATCATGACAAAAGTTGCCAGGATCACACACTTACCTCATTTCACTTTGAAACATCTCCAGAATTAAATAAAGCTTTATAAAAATAACCTCAGATCAGGTGAATAAGATAGAAAGGGCTTGACTCAAGCTGGTTGACATTCAGATGCCCTTACTGTCTTTGAATGGTAATTTTGTTTTTGTTATAGTCTCTGAAATGTTGTTGTTATTGCCGACATGGTCTGAGCTGAAGCCTACATTTCTGCTGCAGGGTGCCGTGGCCACTCTAAACTCCAAGCTGTCGCTGCTGGATGCCTCCAACACAGAAACTGTAGAAGCCAGGCTCAATGCTGTGCTACAGAAGATACAGCAGATTGCTGAGAAGAAGGAGAAAGAACCACAAGTGGACCCAGATAAACAGAAGAAAGTGAGACAGATTTCTATGCAGATGTCTTTTTGTTTTGTTATATTTATTTTTTTCATGTTTTTATAGGACTCCTGTTAAGTTGCATCATGTTTGTTAAGTGTTACAGAGTGTTTCACCCCCCCCCCCCCATTTTTGGGGCCCTACAAAACAACTGAGAAGGTTACAATTTAATCTGGTTTATTCAACAAATCAACATCATGGCACAAGGGTAGTAACTCATAAGTGCTCCATTCTACTTCTGACTCAAGCCTGAGTCTGAAGAATTTCAGCTCAGTTCATGAACTCCGTAGCACCGGCGAGGATCCTGAAATATTTTGTGTAGATTTTTAACTTCAGATGTTGTCCAGGCAGGGCTGTTAGGCTGTTTTTTTTTTATTTCAACTGCCAAGTGATGTTTTACAAGCGCAAACAGTACACACGGGGGTCAGATCTTACTACCCAGAGACATGGTAAATTACTAGAAGTCCACGTGAAAAAAAAAGGCCTTTACCGGGGTTTAAACCAGGGACCTCTAGCACTCGAGGCAGATGTCATACCTTGAGACCACTCAGCTTAATATTTTTTTAAAAATATTTAACAATTTAATATGCCTCTTAAAAGCCCATTAAGAAGAAAATACTGGCTCACTGAGTCAATACTACAATTAAAGCTGTATGGAACCAAAAGGGAACTCCTAATAACAGTCAATTTTATCACCTTAACTTGTCTGTCTGTTGGTGTAAATCAGAAAGCGAACACAAGAAGAAGAATATGCCTGTCTGCAGTATAAGTCCCCAGCACTAGTTATAGACACTTTTTGAACTACAACGGATCAACATCACGGCACACGGGTAGTAACCCATAAGTGCTCCATTCTTCTTCTAACTCAAGTCTTAAGTCTGAAGAAGCTCAGCACAGTGCACAAGCTCTGTAGCACCGGCGAGGATCCTGAAATACTTTGGGTAGATTTTTAAACTCCAAATGTAACCTGGGCAGCGCCTTTAGGCTACTCTTTTTGATTTCCAACTGCCGAGGGATTTGTTTATCTGTGCAACAATGCACACCGGCGCCCGATCTCACTACCCAGAGACCAGGGGGAATTACTAGAAGTCCAAATCCATTTGAAAAAATCCCAGCCCTTGAACACTGCTGTATTTAGGCTTATACTGACTAAGGAGAGCTGAGAGTACTTGTAATGACTCACAGTAAATAACAAAGGGGTATGTTACATCGGAGTGGCTTGCTTCACATGAAACTACCAGAAAGGGAAACTCTTCATTGGCTACCCAAGATAAAGACATCAACAGTTTTCAGTTTTTTTCTTCTTCTAGGTTGCATCCCCGTGAATATTTGATATAGGGCCAGGCCCCCACACTCTACTTAAAAACAAAATGTGATTTTAAAGAGGAGGACAAAAAGAAAAATCCCAACCACCAATATCAATCCAGTCCCCCACACCCTACTTAAAAACAAAATGTGATTTTAAAGAGGAGGACAAAAAGAAAAATCCCAACCACTAATATCAATCCAGGCCCCCACACTCTACTTAAAAACAAAATGTGATTTTAAAGAAGAGGACGAAAAGAAAAATCCCAACCACTAATACCAATCCAACCCCCACCCCTTTCTAACCACCCAAGTTGGAAACCACTGGGAAGGAGCACATATTGCTTGCGAGTAGTTAAATCAGTTGTTAATTAATCCATCATAGTCTGCACCCGGATATATATTAAGTATATGTATGTATGTGTCTGTCTGTGTGTGCATGCATTCGTCTGTTTGTGTGTGTGTCTTTCGGTCAGTCTGTGTGCGTGCATGGATGTGATGTGATGTGATTTTTATGTATGTAGATGCATATTTGTAATGGCACAGATCTCGGAGCTGTATGAAGTGGCCAAGAAATGGGAGACCACGGCAGAGGTCCTGCCTCAGGTGGTGGACCGGCTGTTGTCTCTGAAGGAGTTGCATGAACAAGGTAAGCATTTTGTGTGTGCTCGCCTTTGTTGTTTCTGGTCTTGTCCATTCATGGTGGGACAGTTGGGTACTGTTTACCAGGGTATCCCAGTAAGTTTCCATACATGGTTGGAAAGTTGTGTATAATTTAACGGGGTATCCCAATACGTTTCCATACATGGATGAAAAGTTTGGGCACTGTTTACCAGCGTATCCCAGTAAGTTTCCATACATGGTTGGAAAGTTGGACACTGTTTACTAGGGTATCCCAGTAAGTTTCCATACATGGTTGGAAAGTTGGGCACTGTTTACCAGCGTATCCCAGTAAGTTTCCATACATGGTTGGAAAGTTGGGCACTGTTTACCAGGGTATTCCAGTAAGTTTCCATACATGGTTGGAAAGTTGGGCACTGTTTACCAGCGTATCCCAGTAAGTTTCCATACATGGTTTGAAAGTTGGGCACTGTTTACCAGCGTATCCCAGTAAGTTTCCATACATGGTTGGAAAGTTGGACACTGTTTACTAGGGTATCCCAGTAAGTTTCCATACATGGTTGGAAAGTTGGGCACTGTTTACCAGCAAATCCCAGTAAGTTTCCATACATGGTTGGAAAGTTGGGCACTGTTTACCAGGGTATTCCAGTAAGTTTCCATACATGGTTGGAAAGTTGGGCACTGTTTACCAGCATATCCCAGTAAGTTTCCATACATGGTTGGAAAGTTGGGCACTGTTTACCAGGGTATTCCAGTAAGTTTCCATACATGGTTGGAAAGTTGGGCACTGTTCACCAGGGTATCCCAGGAAGTTTCCATACATGGTTGGAAAGTTGGGCACTGTTTACCAAGGTATCCCAGGAAGTTTCCATACATGGTTGGAAAGTTGGGCACTGTTTACCAAGGTATCCCAGTAATTTTCCATACATGGTTTAAATGTTAGGTGTTGCTCACTGCCATCCTGGTTAAAAAATAAGACTGGGTTTTATATTAATTTTTTCCCGAATAGATGCCTTAGCGCTTTTTTCAGCAGATGTCTTTTATCATGTTGAATAATCTGCATTTATTCACGTAAACATTTGTGCATTTTTGAAACAATAATGTTAGTAATATTATTTATGTAATTATTCATTCCTTCATAATTCAGTACATCTGGCTTGTGTTTGAGTGGACAAATGAAATCCATCTTTGGGACCTTAGCTAGGGGCTTATACTTGGAGTAGGGTTTATATTGCGAGCATCCTGAAAAACCATGTGAGGGCTTATTTTTGGATTAGGTCTTATTTTGGACAAAATACAGTAGAATAAGCGCCACAGCTGGCAGTAGCTGCACCTCAACTGGCATTTGTTCTGGAGGAAGCACTAAGAGAAAAGAAAATGGTACATTCAGTAAAAGCTCAGTAATGTGAATTCCAACGGACTGAAAAATCAAGCATTTGTGTTGGAAACATGTGTGTTAACTGGGAAAGTTTACTAATAGATTCCTGCTGGAACCAACATTTTGTTCATGTTAAACTGAGGGTTCATCTTAAGTGAGTTTGTGTTAATGAGGTTTTCCTGTATTTTCAGCATGTTCTTACTCAGTGAATTTCTTATTTAACATATCTGGTTTTTCACTTATTATTTAGAAACACATTCCAGTGTTTTTAATTAAGAATTAGATGTAAATTTTTAAAAAAATAAATAACTATGAAATGATGTACAAATGAATAACTGGATACAAGGAGTTGATTGAAAGGGCAGAATGTTAGATGAGTCTGCATGCCCAATTCTCAACCCTTTGGGGAAAAAGTTTGTTCATTAGTTTGTTCTTACCATATTTCTAAATTACTTTAGTCTATACATGCTTATGTGTTTTTTTTTTTTTCAGTTAGATAATCTTTTCTTGTTGCAGTTATTATTTGTTGACTCTGTTTGTCATTGAGCTTATTGAAACAAAGAAGAAAACTTTTGCAAGCCATATCAGTGTTTTACAGGGGAATGTTTTCTATTTGAGCATTGTGTTGGGGGTCTGCTGACAATAACATTCTTTCAGTCTGCATGGGAAATATCATTTGAAGCCTCACCGGCATGACATATGATGTGGTATTACGTTGTTCAATCTTACTCTAAGAATTTTATGGAAAACTGCAGGTTGACTTGAGTACATAGCACAGGATGTTTCTTTCTTGTGCCAGATAAATTAAGAAGCAAAAGGTCGAATTAATTGGTCATCTTGCTAGAATGCAACAACTCCATTGTCCACACAGGTGCTTTGCCTAAGAAAATCTGATACGGTGTCCAAGAAGAAGAGGGATTGATCACATAAAAGGCATTTCACGTTCATATGAACAAACATAGTGCCAACCAGTAATTCAAGACCAACAACAATTGTTTCTCATGATGCTTTTCGACAGTAGTAAATGATTCTGATGCTAACAAATGCTGCAGAATCTTCAGACACTGTAAAAGTTTAAACTAATGAGTTTAAATGTTTTGAGCAATCATTGTTACCATTTCCAGCATGTCAGTACTGATGAGTTCATGAACGCGATTATTGTCAGCACCTGCACTGTGCAATCATTGTTACCATGTCCAGTATGTCAGTACTGATGAGTTCATGAACGTGATTATTGTGAGCACCTGCACTGTGCAATCATTGTTACCATGTCCAGTATGTCAGTACTGATGAGTTCATAAACGTGATTATTGTGAGCACCTGCACTGTGCAATCATTGTTACCATGTCCAGTATGTCAGTACTGATGAGTTCATGAACGTGATTATTGTGAGCACCTGCACTGTGCAATCATTGTTACCATGTCCAGTATGTCAGTACTGATGAGTTCATGAACGTGATTATTGTGAGCACCTGCACTGTGCAATCATTGTTACCATGTCCAGTGTGTCAGTACTGATGAGTTCATGAACGTGATTATTGTGAGCACCTGCACTGTGCAATCATTGTTACCATGTCCAGTATGCCAGTAATACTGATATGTTTCTTATCCCCGCTAGCCCTACAGTTTAGCCAGGCCCTAACTTATCTGGATACAGCACAGCAGGAGGTGAAGGCCAGTATCATCACTCAGACTGATCTGCAGAAGCAGGTATGGCACCTAAAGCACACTTTTTTTTCTTAAATATCTGAATCATTATCATGATATTCATCAGTGTTCAGATCTTATTAGGGTGTTGTTTTTATTTCTACCTCAGGTCCAGAGTATTCTAGGAATTTTTCTTGAACATTTAAGTTGAAGAAACAAGACAGAAAAACAAAACCTAACCCCTTGTTAAAAAAACATTAATTTATTTCTGTATCCTTTATAAGATGTAAACGAACCCCAGAAATTTGTGTGTGTGGCTGTTGTGATTTCACCAGCGATGTTACCTTCAGTAGTTTGCCATTGCTTTCTGGACAGTTGGCTCTCAACACCACTGTCAAAACTAGTGCAAGGCAGTCTGCTGTCTAATTGCCCGCAACTAAAATTTAACCTGGCCCCTTGAAATGACGCAACCCATACTAAATTCAGCTTTACTGAATTTAGTTTAGGGTGTCAGCTGGGGAATGAGCAGGCTGATTGCTGCTGCTATTTCTCTTGACTGTTTGCTACTTCCTGATGTAGGTGTCAAAATCTGGGGCTTCAGGCCTCTTGAGGGCCCTCCCCCAAATGTAAGAGAAGTAAGCACCTCCCTCCACCTTCCCGACCATGCATAGTTCTCTTGTTAAATTTGTATTTTTATTTTTACCCCACCGATCTTTCAGTGCTTTCTTTTTGATGCTAACCTTGCTTTGTGACTCGGATTAAGTGGATAGTTAACCAAAATAGGGTATCTATAGAGTATCCAAGCTGAAAATGTGAACATATAGGATTGTATTTTCTTAGGATGCCAGTATCCGATGATGGTGATTTCGTTGTTAAACAGATATTATCTTAAGAGCATTCTCTTGAAAATAAATCTATGTCATTGGAGGTTAGAAAAAGAATTTTTGCATACTGCATAGACCTAGTTTCTGCAGAAGTCGGATGTGTCGGCCAAAAAGTGCAAATATTGCAGCCATTCTCTAAAGTGGCACAGTGCATGTTCAGATGAACACACAAGAAAAGGAAGAAAATATAGAGCTTTTTTTAACATATAATTGTGAATCCTGTACAATTAACTATAAAGCCAAACAATTTCTTGAGGCCTCCGAGATGTGATTTTACAGAAGAATTTTATAATTCCTTGGGCAGCGCACGCACGCGCACACACACGCACACACACACACACAAATGCAACCCTTTGTAATGAGGTGAATTGCCATGGAAATCCCAGAGAGTTCCCAATTGAGGGGACACATTCAGAGAGCCAGGAAAACAAGAGAAAAGGGAGAAAAACATGTCTTGATTATCCCATGTTGTGTGAACAGAGGTACATGAAAAGCATGAGACTGGAACAGAAGGTTTGAATGGAGAGAGTAGTTAGAGGCAGTTGTGTTTTATGAGAGGTAGGCTGGTACGACTGAGGTGAACATTGTGAACTGGAGGACCAGCTGTTGGAAGCTCTAGTGCCTGAGGAGAATTGATTCTGAATGACATCTAGTGTTCTGTGAACATTTGTGTGATGGTGATTCAGATGCCAATACCCGAACCAATGGAACATTCTGACTGGCTGGTAACTGCAACCATTGTTTAACTGTCGTCTTGTCGTGGGAGGCTGTCGTCAGCTCATGGCAATGACTAGGCTGAACTGTGGACATCGACAGAATGACTTATTGTTGTTCCACAATAAACGATATCAACTTAATCATCGTGTTCTGAACGTACTTTCATGTGTCCAGACTTTACATCTCAATTGAGGCACGCAAAAGATCAAACTAGTAGAACCAGCCAACACTATCATTGCATCCTTTTTTTTTTTTAAAGAAAAAAGAAAGATTGCATACATCTTGAAGATTTATAAATACCCTTTTTGCATTCACAGTTGCAGTCGAACCTAGATGCCAATGCCAAGATTTTCCAGCAGAACATAGAGAACATAGAGAAGCGACTCAAGGCCCTGGGACAATCCTGAGATGTTTTCCTGTAGTTAACAATTATTATTTTTTGGCTTTGTAGTGTTTTGGGGTCATAAATTTTGGGCTGTGGTATTCTGGCTGTCATATTTCCCCCATAATTTTTGTTTTGTAGACAACCCAGGGTATCGGTCGTATTATTGTAAATTGATAAATTTATGTTTAAAAAGTTGATTTCTTCCTGCCACTCACCTTGCTACTTGATGATTGTTGTGTTGTTTCATATTATTTGTCAGTATTGTCTGCTAGTGATGTTTTTTGATTTAATTCATGCAATGTATGTTTGTATGTGCATATGAATTTGTCGATGTATGAGATAATGATGTTTTATGGTGAATGTATATGCAAGAAAAGTTTAAAAAAAAAAGAAAAAGTAAAGGAGTCTATGACAACTAGTTATATATTGTCAATTTCAAACATTTTGCAGCTGCACATATTGCAAAATGCCTAAATACAGCCCTGGTTGTTACTGTTTGAATAAGTGGGGGAAAAGAAATATACAAAAAACTGAGATGAAAAAGTCCAGATGCAAACAGTGTAGGAAAGTATTGACTGTAAGTATAAGGTTACTGAACATGAACTGAAAATACTCCAGAAATAGCATAACTCAAAACTGTCAATCCTGAATAAGGTTATCAGAGTTGTATCAGTGCGTCACATGTAATGCATTTTTCTCATATCTACAATATAACTGTAAATTGTATTTTGCAGCGCAGTGTAATGTTCATTTAGATTTTCTTCCTTTTTTTTTTTTTTAAAGATTATTATTTCATATTGTGTCACCATTTTCATATTTTAAGTTTATGAAATAATTTTTTCTGGTAAATTTATGTAGTTTAGTATTTCGAACCCTGAATCATTCCCCATCAAGATTGTTCAGCGTGTGGTATTTGTTCAGACTGAGAAACCGGACAGTTTGCTGCTGACATTGTAAGTGCAATGATTTAATTAATGGGTTGACTCTTTTGTATTGTCACAGTAGTAGAATACAATGTTGAGTCACAGCTCATGATCTTTGTTGGTGATCGTTTGCTCTAGTCAGATTTTGATATTTTTCTTATTGTAGTTAATAAAACATACATGTTAGTGTGTCTTGGACATATTACAGAAGGAAGACTGGGGAAGAAAAAAGATGTCAGTGTGTCTTGGACATATTACAGAAGGAAGACTGGGGATGAAAAAAGATGTCAGTGTGTCTTGGACATATTACTGAAGGAAGACTGGGGAAGAAAAAAGATGTCAGTGTGTCTTGGACATATTACTGAAGGAAGACTGGGGAAGAAAAAAGATGTCAGTGTGTCTTGGACATATTACTGAAGGAAGACTGGGGAAGAAAAAAGATGTCAGTGTGTCTTGGACATATTACTGAAGGAAGACTGGGGAAGAAAAAAGATGTCAGTGTGTCTTGGACATATTACAGAAGGAAGACTGGGGAAGAAAAAAGATGTCAGTGTGTCTTGGACATATTACTGAAGGAAGACTGGGGAAGAAAAAAGATGTCAGTGTGTCTTGGACATATTACTGAAGGAAGACTGGGGAAGAAAAAAGATGTAAGTGTGTCTTGGACATGTTACAGAAGGAAGACTGGGGAAGAAAAAAGATGTCAGTGTGTCTTGGACATATTACTGAAGGAAGACTGGGGAAGAAAAAAGATGTCAGTGTGTCTTGGACATATTACAGAAGGAAGACTGGGGAAGAAAAAAGATGTCAGTGTGTCTTGGACATATTACTAAAGGAAGACTGGGGAAGAAAAAAGATGTCAGTGTGTCTTGGACATATTACTGAAGGAAGACTGGGGAAGAAAAAAGATGACAGCGTGTCTTGGACATATTACTGAAGGAAGACTGGGGAAGAAAAAAGATGTCAGTGTGTCTTGGACATATTACAGAAGGAAGACTTGGGAAGAAAAAAGATGTCAGTGTGTCTTGGACATATTACAGAAGGAAGACTGGGGAAGAAAAAAGATGTCAGTGTGTCTTGGACATATTACAGAAGAAAGACAGGGGAACAAAAAAGGTGACACCTGGCAAGTTTAAAAGAGAAGACAGAGAAGTAAATACCTAGATAGTGGCCATATGGATGTGGACAGAAGAAGTGCACTGGCCTGATCTGTGGTTCTGGTGACCGTGTGGGGTGGCAGACTAAGAACACCTGTGCTGTTCAGCAGTGCACTAGATGATGGATTTTTACAGGTCCTCTGGAGTCTTTTTTTTTTTTTGGTCATAGACGTGACTCCAAGAAGTCACTGACTAATTTTACAGTTTCTGAAAAGTCTCCTGACTAGTTCTGATCATGATTCATTATTAGCTCCATTGTGGTTTCATTTCTTTTCTAATTTATGCCCTGTGGTATTTTCCTGTGATGTTTTCAGGTTTACTAGGAAAGTGGTGTGCAACAGCATAAAGTAACAATGTGTAACAACATAAAGTAAAAGTGTAGGACATGATAAACTGTCAGTGTGTAACAACATAAAGTAAAAGTGTATGACATGATAAACTGTCAGTGTGTAACAACATAAAGTAAAAGTGTATGACATGATAAACTGTCAGTGTGTAACAACATAAAGTAAAAGTGTAGGACATGATCAACTGTCAGTGTGTAACAACATAAAGTAAAAGTGTATGACATGATAAACTGTCAGTGTGTAACAACATAAAGTAAAAGTGTATGACATGATAAACTGTCAGTGTGTAACAACATAAAGTAAAAGTGTAGGACATGATCAACTGTCAGTGTGTAACAACATAAAGTAAAAGTGTATGACATGATAAACTGTGAGTGTGTAACAACATAAAGTAAAAGTGTAGGACATGATAAACTGTCAGTGTTTAACAACATAAAGTAAAAGTGTATGTCATGATAAACTGTCAGTGTGTAACAACATATAGTAAAAGTGTAGGACATGATAAACTGTCAGTGTGTAACAACATAAAGTAAAAGTGTAGGACATGATAAACTGTCAGTGTGTAACAACATATAGTAAAAGTGTAGGACATGATAAACTGTCAGTGTGTAACAACATAAAGTAAAAGTTTATAACATGATCACATATCAGTGTGTAACAACATAAAGTAAAAATGTTTAACATGGTAAACTATCCATGTGTAACAACATAAAGTAAAGTTTAAATACCATAAAAGGACATTGTATAACAGCAAAGTGACATTGTATAACACCATAAATTGACATTGTATAACAACATAAAGTGACAGTGTATATCAGCATAAAGTGTTCATGTATAACAACGTAAGGTGATAATGTATAATAACATAAATTAAACTTCTATAACAACATAAAGTGACACTGAATATCAACTCAAAGTGATGTTTGTATAACAACATACACTGGCAGTGTATAACAAAGTAACTTTTTCAGGTTAGAACATTACTCAACTATAACATATGATTGTTATAAATGAAACAGGTTTAAACTTGGCCTATTAAGGTATCTCTGCCTATGGTAGTACTCATGAAAGTCACCCTATCTCGTTAGGCTGCAAGATTTTGTAGTGGTTCCCACAGGCTGTTCTATGTTGCAGGGGTGTTATGAGATGTCTTCCTTCGGCGTCTATGCACAGTGTGCCCAACAGCGGGTTCGTTCAAGGAGGTTGACACAATGTCTCTCTTTTCTGTGAACGACTGTTGTTTCTGGAATGTGTTGATGTTGTGATTAGGACTCAGGCACTGAAGTGCCTTTGTTCAAGGAAGCAGTAACTGCGTGAGAAAGTGCCGAAGGCTTGTCAGTGTTTTTTATGATCACTGGCGGTGGCTGTCATCATCGATGATGCACTTAAAATGGTCAAAACGAGGAACTCATGATACTGCTAGACTATAGGAGTCTCATGGAAAATCCTTTAAGAAATCACGCGGCTGATGAGATGGGGTGACTTTCATGAGTTGGACCCTGCCTCTTTATAACACGACTACTCAAATTTCACCCAGTGCCATACATTTGATTATTTGTATGTTTCTTTTCCATATTAACAAATTAATTTTCTGTCATTTGCTATGCTTGATTTGACTGTAAAGCCTATGTAATCTTGATATTTTTAGTGTTCACAATTGTTATTGTTAACTTGTTGTCAAGAGAAATGTTTTGTCTTCTGCTTTGTTCTCAGTGATTTTAATATTTTCTTTACTTGAGTAATTTGGTAGTTTATAACCGCTTGATTTAACAATATCTCAGTTGAAGCTGGTTTGCTGTATATTGACATTCTTCTTCTGCATTCGCCACTAAAAGACCAGTTGACACATTTTGGTTTACGGCTAGACTGTGATATCTGCACATTTCATCTATTTTTTTTCCCTTCAGAATGGGACCTTAGAACCTATATGGGAATTTTGACAATGAAATGCCCAAAATCCAAAACTTACTGTTGATCGCAGCCAGTCTGTGTGCTATGTTGTACCGTGACCTGGTGATCCTAATATGCCTCTGCAGGTGTTCTCATGGTGGCTTGGAAAAGACGGTGATGGAGGGTGCAGTTTGTGGAAGGCGAGGCAGGGGTCGACCACTGCGAAGATGGATACAAGACACTGAAGATGCATTGGCATTAAAAGCACATGGAGCCGGAGAGCTGGCTAGGGAAAGGGATACTTTCAGGCGTGCCATGAAAAAAGCAACATTCTGTAAAGGACTTGCTAATTGATGACGATGATGTGTTCTGGTGCCAGCACTGCACACTGTGGCACAGCTCTGTTTATGTTGAAGTCACACCCAGGTTCGTCTTTAGTTTATGCTACAAGAGGAGTCGATTGAAATAGAATAGACTAGGTGAAAGATGGTCGTTTCGATAGTGGAGGTGATGATAATGATGTGCTAGCTGCATGCTTCTCACGTGACTCTGATGCTTATAAAATAAAATGTCTGGAAAGAACTGTTCTTGTCTATACTGTCTTTATTATGATACTTCAGCAATGTCACAAACAACGTCAGTGATATTCTGAAAGGCGCTGTGTTCTCCCTATGACTACATACTCTTGAGGTCGCGTTGTGTTCT